TTGACTTTCAAGCAAGGAGAAATGTGAAAATAACCCTCTAAGTCACAAATGGGATTCAGCAGATCAAGAGTGCGTATTGCTTAGAGCTTCTGAATAAATGTGGCTTTTATTAAAGAGTTTTAATTCAAAAGACAACAAACATATAGCTTCTCAACAGAAAAATAGATACAGGAAGCCATTTTGAGGAAATGACTGTCTTTTAGCACCAGCCATTTTTCAAATGTAAAACAAATATGTCATATGTGTGTCACTTGCTTGGCTAACAAAATTTAACCAACCAGTGACTGGCTCCCAGATGCCTGATCCAATGTCCCTGAAGATGTTTTGACTTTTCATGATGCCAAGTTTTTATAGCATGACTGTGGAACCCATGATACCACTACAGTAAAACTAGCTTAGTAGCCTAGCTATAGTTCTCTTTTGCACACCCAAATGCTGATACAATGGCTTTTATTATGAAAATTATATAATTTTCAGCTTTTGCATCTCTCACAGTTATTTAACCCCGACGAACATTGAAGAATATATAATTTTTTATGTATTTTTTATTCCTTTATTATTATGAGGCTCTAGTGGCCTTTATTTTTATTACAGTATTTTAGAAAGTAGTTAGACAGGAGACAGGGAGAGGAAGTGGTTAACCCCTTCACCAGTTGGCACCCATTCTGGTCAAACTGATTGGTTATCAGTGGTTGTGTCAAACTGTAGCTTGTTGCACAATAATAATTAGGTGGAACATACAAATCTTTTAATTTATGTAGTATGATTTTTTTCATTTCTATTTTTAGATTTTATCTATACTGTACACTGATTTATTGTAATATTTAGCTCTACCACTACATGGACTGAAGAAAAAAACCACAGGTTTTCACTTAGAGCTGTATTGTTCAAATGAATAGTCAAAGGCCTTATCTTACAAGAAGCAACATATAAATTTCTCACTCAAATGAGATTGTTGTATATAAAAGAAATACTGCAGAAGCATAGAAGTTCTGTATTTGTTGTCAACGCTATGTTACCATACCCAGCCTGTCTTTGTGACAGATCATTCCACTCTGGAAAGTTTTTAACTGAAAAAAAACTTTCTCTAAATTGGCTACCTAGCCCCTCTCACAATAACATATAGTCCCCAACTTTACCCAATGTGAATTTAATATTTTCATCTTCTGTAAAATGTAGCTTTGTTCTCTCTGTGTGTCCCCTGCATCTATCCTATTGGAAACCAGACCTTTGTCAACAATTCTGCTTTTAGGGAAAGCCTGTGGTTTTAATTAAGTAGTCTAGTAGTAGAGCAAATAATTACAATAAAAAACACTAAAATGTGACAAAAAGCAAGACTCTCCAAACATTTTTCCCCTTACCTAATACTGCAACACAACAACAAAAAGATTTCCTGGATGAGAAATGCACAGACATTATTTTCATACATATTAGGAGGTGTTATTTGTTCACAGTGTATGGGATGGTTCAGACTTTTCTATCTTAGGAAAACCAGCTGATTGCATCGACTCATTGACTCTTCAGCAATCCCTGACACTCAAGGCTGTAAAAAAGAAAAAAAACCCTAACTTATAGGTGCATGTTTTAAAAGGTACAATTAAAATAACTCTTTTTTTTTCCAGTTGCCTTTCAGGAAGTCCATGAAGGCTTTGGTATGCAAAATGCTGCTAATAAAAACAAACTGCATTTAGCAACGGACAATAGATCATATCTTATTAAAATTTACATGCATGGGTACCATCAGTATGTAGAGTATTGTAATCCTCATATGATTGATTGGTAACAGCAAAAAGGGATTGACTACTTAATTATATTCATGCATTCAAAATCATGTAAGTCTCAATCTACAGAACTTTATATTTTTCAATCTTAAGCTTGAAAAAAATCTGCCTGGACGATAAATTTCTTTGTCATGTAAAAGAAAATCTCAAGTAAATAAGTTCAGTTAATTCCTTTTTTGTGTGCATGTGTCCTGTTTTGGTAATATAGCTTGAGTCCAACATCAGAATGGGGTTTAACCTCTTTTTGAAAACAGAGCATTGACCTTGGCACTAGAAGATTATTTTCTTTGATTTTTGTTTCCTAAAGAAATTGTATTCAACAGTCACTGTCAGACAGTAAAATTGGTCTATCTTTAAATGAAAGGTTATTTTTTTGAGGTTTTCTAAATAATTTAAGTTTCAGCAGAAGCTCTGCTCGTTTGATGCATCCAAAATAACTGCACTAATTTCAGCTTCAACATTTCTACATTTCAACCAGTGCCGTGTTTAAATCATGGTCCGTCCAAAAAGGACATATAATTCAGTCCAATTAAGTTTATTCATGTAAACCCAATTCACAATACATGTCCTCCCAAAGAGACAATTCAATCAAAACATACAAGCGGATTGGTTAAAAGTTTCCTGAGGAAATCCAGCTGATAGCATCAAGTTACAGACTAAATGAAAAGTCCTCAAAAAAATAACACCAAGGTTTTTAACATTAATATCTGACAACAATTTATTGCCATCCAAATGAAGTAACTCACTAATCATTTATGTCGCAGATAGCTGAGTATCGTCAGTCTACCATTGAAAAAAAGTAAAAATATCTTAAAATATGTGTATTTGCCCTTAAGGTGAGCTATTGAATAAGATGATCTGCTAATGGATTAAGATCTGTAGATATTAAGTTATGGAAATAAGGAAATAGAGGTGTTTTTTTTTTTTCATTTGTTTTGTTTTTTATTTATTCAAACATAGATCCTCGTATTCCATTGGCCAATTCTAATACTTTTTATGCTAAAAAAAATTGGAAAACACACATGGGAGCGAGCTACATTGTAGCAACACCTGTCTTGGAACTCACTGAAAAAAATGAGGCTGCCGCACACTGGCACCACCATCAGTAGGCAATGCGAGTGAAGTGTCTTGCCCAAGGACACAATGACATTGAAAGACAGAGATGAAGTGTAACCCCACGACCCTTCGGTTGCAGGGCAAACTCCTGCATCCAATGCCACTGTTGTGTGTTGTTTATGATAAAACAACTCACACCTTAAATATTTCAAGCCTGGCCTAAGCCTGCCAGTGTCCCCTGAATATTTTTTACGGATGTGACATTGATTATTTAATATATTCTGAAAAGGGTGTCTGGGATAATTTTTTTTTTTTATCATGACCTCTCTTAGAAAAGAAAATATAATGCTTTTGCCATTGCATTATTCAAAGCATATTGTACAACATAATTTGATTATGCAGCTCCATAACTGAACACAAATCTAGTAAATTTATATTAGTAGAACAATGTAGAGCAGTTTCAGTAGCAAGAGAATAGTTTAGCTGCAATAACTCTGCATAACATAACAAATATCTCAATTAAAATTGTTCAAAGGAGATTGGAAATTAATAATTAAAAAATAATCTGTAACAGTAAAACAGCAGCTGTTTTATGGCTGTAGAGGTGTGGGCAATAAAGATTGTAACATCATTTATGCAGAAATGAAATAAGTATAAAACATATGTGCAATGTAGACATCATTGTGTTTAAGCAGGCTCAGGTTTGTTCATTATTTGTGTTTTAAATGTAGTGTACATTGTCCAAAACAGCTAGAGGAGGAACTACAGTTCGATCCTGTTTGTATGTCTTTGTGGACGGCTTTATATCTCCTCCCAGATTGCAGCAGTTCAACTATGTGGCATGGATGAGTAGGGTCCTTGCAGGTTATTTTAGCTTTCCTGAAACATTGTGTTTCATAGATATCCTCCAGGTTTTTGAGTTGAATTCATGCAAATCTTTGCACTGGAGACAATGTGCTTAAAGGCCTTACTTTTGCTTCCACTTCAGATTATACGCTTCTTTTGTCCTATTTTTTACACTAACATTTCTTCCAATTGTTCTTTCATCCAGACATAAAAAAGGATGATATTTTACTAGATCAAAAGCATGGCCTTTTTTGTCTAAGTCTACGAGACCTCTGTGCAGTAGAAAACCTACCAAAAAACATTTGTTATTCAATCATCAGCATGTGTTCTGTTATTCTATTCGTTAAAAGAACACAAAAGTTTCAAATAAAGGCTAAGGAAAGTCTCTCATGTACTGTAATATACATACATGTATACAGGCTCATGTGTATGCATATATGAGTCTTGTATTTCCTTCATAAACCATTGCTTTATCCCTCTGGGTGCTTTTCCTCCTAGCCTGCGTCAGGGTTAAGGCCAAGTTAATACAGAAAAGCTCTGCTAACGCAGCTCAAGTCCAGGCCGTAAATCCTCCCTCACAGCTTTAGCTCCAGACAGAGCTGTTTAGCACGGTTTTACAGTCATCAGGCAGGGTGTGATTGAAGGGAGGATAAGGAGTGAAGCACCATTAAGGGAGAGTAAGAGAAGGAGACCAATAATTAGAGAACAGAATTAAAGAGCAGTGATTGAAGGCAGTGGTGAGATGGAGTGATGTGAGGGCCGAGGGTGGGAAAAAGATAAATTGACAGGGGGGATGAGGAACTGCTGAGTTTTGGAGCGCAAAGGTAAAAAGGGGGGAGTGGGAGGAGCAGAAGGGACCTTAGAGAAAGATGGATGGAAGCAAAAGCCATCAAGGCAAGATGGTAGAAGTAGGTCAAAGCTAATTAGAGAGAACGATAACGTCCAGAAAGAGTTTAGTGTTGCAGATGGAGGCTCCAGCTAAGGGATACTAATACCTTAGCCTGAACTCACATTCAGTGAAGCAGGGTTTGGTTCTGACACAATTATGATGGAAGTTAAATGAAATGTTCACCCTGCATTAACACTAACACAGGTTATAAAAAGACACAAAGGCTATCCAAGGTTCATAATGTTTTTCTTTTCTTTTCTTACCTCCTTTATCTTTTTTTTTTTTTTTTTTAATGAAGACATTTCTGATACAACCACTGACATCCTCCCACTTTCATGTTGCACCTTCTTTGTTCATTTTCTGTCTAATTCTAAGCTCTGCCCTGTTGCGTCCATCTGCTTCTTTCCCGTTTCTGTGTTTCCACACAGTTTTGGGGACACCTCCCTCTCATCCGCCTCCACCCTGGAGCACATCCCATCCTCGGCAGTCGCTCGCCCCCGCCCTCTGGTGCGCCAGCAGAGCCTTCAACAGCCTCTCACTCACCGGCCCCCTCCAGGTCCCAACGACCCACCGGTAACCTCACAGAGTCTGGGCCAGCTGCACACAGGTCCAGGCGGCGGGGGGCACCGTGGGGGCCCGCGGGGGGTCCGGGGGAGTCCGGCTGGAGCTTCCAGGCATAGAGGTACTGGGGCTGGACGATCACGGTCAAATCCAGGAAGCTGGGACCATATGATGGAGCAGATACGCCACAGAGGTCTGGACGTCAAGTCATTCCTGTAAGTCTCATGAAGTTCTCTGCTGTGGAAGATCTTAAAGTACATGATATGCTTATGTACTATGCTCCCTACCTGCTTTAGTATATCAAACTAAAGAATAAATACAATGATCTTTAAACTAATATTCAATTAATTTGTAAAAAAGAAAATAAACAAAAATGTGGGGCAAAATTATTTGTTTTTCTCTTCTGATTCTTCTGATAAATTTTTCTTCAGTAATGTAATTTTCATAAGTCTGGTTGATGTTCCACCATATATATTTTAGAGTTCTTTTGTAAATATTAGTACTACTTATGTTGGTGAAACAAGCTTCCTTTGTTAATTTATTAACCTTGTTGAACTGAGAATCAGATCAGCAGTAGTGAATTACTGGTTGTCTGTTTTTGTATGTGTTTTTTATTTTTAATTAACTTCTACTAAAATGGGTTTTTGAACAAACTTAAGTATCCTGTTGGCAATTATTGTTTCCAATTGTTTCTTCAGGATTTAAAGAATGAATGTGAAAAAATGAATGTAAAAATGTCCCGAAAAATTTGTCTCATGCATATCTCATTAACAAGGAGAATACAAGATCAACTAAAGATAGTATACATCTAACTATTATTTATGCATTGTCATTTTTCCATTGCACATCTTGCTTAATACCAATTGGTGCATAGTTAATGTATGGGAGTAATTTTTTTTAATTTTTTTGGGGACAGATCAGGTGAGACATACTATAGGCAACCTTAGTGATGCTGTAGAAAGAGTGTGTTCAGGAATTCAACCTCTCGCTACACAGAGTCTCTGTACAGTAAAAAAATAACTGAAGCTCCTTATACTGTATGCTATAACTGAAAAACTTTTGTTATGTTTCCAGCGTTTTAATGATGCATTCATAACTCGGCAGTAAGAAACAGAACCTCAACTTTCCTGGATTCACATTTTCCTAACATTTGTATGAATACTACAAAAACTGAGAAAAAAACGATATCTACTCAGTGTAGGACTTACACTGACAGCATGTAATCACATAATTGCATATGATTTCAGACCCAGGAGATGAATAATGACTATGAATGTGAGTATGCCACATCTTAGTTTAAAATTACACAATAATTGACATATCAGAGCAAAAGAAAGGGTTGATTTAATATGGAAATAAGCACTTTTGTGCCTTTTAGTGACATGTGTGCTTTTATGCTGATCATAGGACATCTGGCATAAAACATCATCACACTATATATGTATCACATGCTTGGATTGCTAGAGGGATGTTATTTAGATTATTTACAATCTTTTACAGTTTTGGAACTATATTAACATATTAGGTTGTTAAAGCGCTAAAGCGCCTTGCAGTATTAATATCATAATATTTGTTTATCTGTAGTAAATACGTATTTAAATAAAGTTAAGTAAATACACTGGTTTGGGGAAACATATTTTCTTTCTTCCTTTAGCAAATTATACAATATGAACTATGGCTTTTAACTATTCCTTCCCATTGATTAGTTAGGTTTACAGAGCAAACTAAAATTCTTCCAAAGTTGCCTAATTAGTAAATAGACTCTACCAGTGTGCAATTTAAAGTCAATATACTTGTAGATATTCTGCGTACGCCCTGAGAAGATCAGTCAAAATATCTGCATTGTAAAAAAAAAAAAAACAGACAAAAAACAAAGAACATGCAAAAATGATCAGCTTTAAATATGGCTTGCTCCTTAAAGAAAGCTAACTTACTGACATAACTAGTACAGAATTGTTCAGAGAAGTAAACAAGACGCCATCGTAAATTTGGAGGAGCCGCAACTCATGTAAAAGATTCTAATGGCATGAGAACTATTAGTTTGGTACTGGCTAGATCCTGGATTTTGCAGCAAGAAAACAAAAGTAGGGGGAAACAATGTGGTAGACAGTGTTAAGAGGAGATCCAAATAGTGTTTATTGGTCTACATGCAAAATGCCATGTTAGTTGTAATTGTCCTGTGAACAAAGTATTCAATTACACAGTCCAGTTAAATAAATGGAGATTGATAGATTTACTCTGTTGGTACTTTACTTATTTATGTATTTACTTTGCCAGGCAAATTGAAAACAAGACATCCGCAATGTCACACATGTATGATGTTCTGCCCTGTTCGGATGTAGAGAGAGTTTGTCTCCCTTACTTACAATTATGGAAAGTAGTTGGAGTCAAAAGAAGTTACATGCTCTTTGTTAAACAGTGACATGTTATGAATAAACCTTGAGAAAGGATCACATTTTTATGGGAATAAGTATTACTTGTCCCAAACACTTTTCACTCAAACATTTTGTGGCCTTGCAGGTGAAACAGACTGAATAAAAACATTTTTCAGTAAGTAAATAGCATAAATCGATATATGAAAGACGTAAATAGATAGCTACATTTTCTGACCACAGACGTAGCAAGCAACATTTAACAAACGTTAAACATGGTGTTGTCATTATTATGGTGCGGTCATTCTTTTCATCAGCAAGAAAACTAGTCAGAATTAATGGTGAGGTGGATTCAAACATGAAAGATGCTGGTGGAGGATGCAGAAGACTTGAGTTTGAGACAAAGGTCCTAAGAATTCAGAAATAAAACGATTTAAACCATCTAACCAGAGATACAATAAAATGACCCCATTAGGTCATTTTGAATATCTGGTAATGCCTTTTGATCGCCCATATGCACCTGCAGTTTTCCAGTCCTTTATGAATGACGTCCTTAGAGATTTTTTAAATCAGTTTGTATTCGTATACCTTGATGACATTCTGATTTTCTCCAGGACCTTATCCAACAATGAGATCTGTGTGAGTCAAGTTCTCTAAAGTCTTCTAGAGAACCAACTCTTTGTCAAACCTGAGAAGGGTGTGTTGCATGCCAAATCAATCACCCTTTTATGACACATTCTCAAGAGTGGGCCAGTGAGAACATATCCAGATAAGGTTCAAGCCATTCTCAATTGACCTACTTCATCAACTCGCAAGCAGCTACGTTTTATAGGAATCGCCAACTTCCACCACAGATTCATTAAAAAATACTGTCAAACTATTCTATCCCTCACTAGCCTTACCTCCTCCAAAGAAACCTGTATTTGGTCTCCTGATGTTTCTTAACCCAGCATTTGTCTAAAGCAGAACAAAACTACAATGGGGGCACCTGAGAACTCTTAATCATAAAATGGCTTTTGAGGAGTGCTGCCCATGGTTGGAGGGAGCTGACTTCCTCCAAGATCTAAAACATCTGAAACCTAGACAGTAATGTTGGTCTCTGTTCTTTTCCTGTTTTAACTTCAACTAAAAACACCAAACACAATGCCCTTTCTGTGCACAACTGAGTAGGAACCCAATATCTCAAGTGTCATTCATCCTCCCTTCATTGTGCAGGCCTTATCGTAAGAAATAAAGGATCAGGTCCTGGAAGCTCAGCGGTCCGTACTGGACCCTTGCACTGGACCTCCGAACCAGGTTTATGTTCCTGGTTCCATTAGGTCCTGCCTCATTCATTGGGTCTACTTGGAAAATTCTCCTGCCATCCTGGAATCACCAAACTCTTGCACTCACTAATTAAAATTTCTGGTGTCCTACAATATACAAGGAAGCTATGTTCTACCCTCTACAGTGTTTGCAACAAAGCTAGTCACCAGCCTCCCAGTGGTCTTCTTCAACCAATGCCTATCCATAACCTTCCATGGGATATTATTGCCTCGGATTTTGTTACTGGACTACCAACATCTAAGGATTTTTCCACCATCCTCGCTATAATCAACCGCTTCCCCAAAGCCTGCCACCTCATCCCTCTTTGTTGACTCCCACCCTCCCTTGAGACAGCTCAGCTCTTCACTTAGCCAAGAGTGCTCACAGTTCAGGATTTCATTCCCAAACAAATGGTCAATCCGAACGCATAAACCAGAAGCTTGAGGCCTCCCTCCACTGCCTCTATTCATTATACCCATCCTTTGCTACTGGTCTATCTCGATTTGAATTCTCTCTAGGATACAAACCTCCCCTGTTTCCATCTGACAAGATGGACATTTTAGTAACCTCTGTCAAATACCACATTCAGCCCTGCATATAGGTCTTGAAACTGACAGTTTCTGCCTTTAACTGGTCTGTGGATACAAATCCAGCTAATCAGAGAAGCTTCCTTGCTCCCCAGTACTCACCTGGACTAATACTTTGGCTATCAACTCGTGACACTAACATAATGGGTTGGCTCATCGTTGACAAAGAGGTGTTGAGCAACCGGACAATTCCAGACAAGTTTTTTTGGGGCAACAGCCTTGGTATTTTTGGAAAGTCTTAGGAAAAAGGCATATATTATAAGTTCTCATTTCATTGGGACTTGCTGATCAATTTGTGTGAGGTCAGTGGGATGATAAAAAAGTTCTTGTCAGGCAGGTCCTCCGTCATAGAAGAGATTCATCTACATTAGAGTATTGTTATACTGTCTTGATTGTGCATGGTGCGTAAAAGTCAGAAATTAAGCATTTAAAGGTTGTTTCTATGCATGTTTTTGTTTAAAAAGGATACAATAAAGAACATATGCTGTAGTTATAAAAAGATTACACCTTTAAGAATTTCCTAGTGTGATGTTGTAATATCATCCAAATGTTTACTATTGACAGGGGCTGGGAACAAAGGATAATTTCTCTCAAGACATTTTTGAGGATGATGAGAATTTGCTAACCAGGCTTCATTAGTATTGTTGATTCTGAGAAGACTGACGACCAACACCCCTGTGGTATTCTGTTGGGAGAACTTCTGCGTATTTGTAGTGCTTAACCCACTCACTGATTTTTTTTTCTGCTTTTGTTGTTTCTGTGAAACATTATTTAGTGGAACAAATTTTGATATTGGACAAAAATATAGTCCGAGTACATACAAAAGACATATTTTTATGATTTTATTGACAAATTCTTTTGAAATAAACATGAACCCTTGTAAAGAAATAATTGCCTAAATGGGGGTCAAATTTTTCTTAATGATTTCCTGCAATAGAGCACAATTCACTG